CCTCCTCCATCTGCACTCACCCCTGCCCTCCCAGCCTGTCCTCCTCCATCTCCCCCCACCCCTGCCCTCCCAGCCTGTCCTCCATCTGCACTCACCCCTGCCCTCCCAGCCTGTCCTCCATCTGCACTCACCCCTGCCCTCCCAGCCTGGCCTCTGCTCACCAGCCCTGCCCACCCCAGTTCTTTAGCCAGTTCTAGGGACCCACAGGGCCATGGCTCTGCAAGTGTCACAAGAAAAGTATGTAATGTCCACACTAAACAGGTGCTTTTGAAACTAAAATGGGCTGGGGGACACCAAGCATCACCAGGACTGCCCAGGCCAGTCTGTGGTAAGCTGTGTGGTCACCCTGTTCAACCCTGTTCAAGCCCAGGACATTTTGCCCTTCAGCTTAGCCCTGGCTGCTGGCTCTGCACTGGCCTGCCTTTTCCTTCCGGAATCACGAACTCCAAGGCATCCAGTCACTCAGCGTAGGCCGGGCCCTGTCTTCCCTGACTGCTGGAGCCAGCTTGTCCAGGCTGGCCAGACTGATGGGTACAATTTCAGGAATTTTATGAGCCAGGTGTTAAACACAGCCATCATTTTAAAATTAGGCAGACGTACAATCACATAAGACAAAGGTAATAAGTACTCTAAATTCATCACTTCCTAATCATACCACTTTTTCTTTTCTTTTTTTTTTTTTTTGGAATGCAGTCTCTGTTGCCCAGGCTGGAGTGCAGTGATGTAATCTCGGCTTACTGCAGCCTCCACGTCCTGGGTTCAAACAATTCTACCTCAGCTTCCTGAGTAGCTGGGATTACAGGTGTGCGCCACCACACCCGGCTAATTTTTATGTATTTTTGGCAGAGATGGGGTTTCACCATGTTGGACAGGCTGGTCTTAAACTCCTGGCCTCAAGTGATCTGCCCACCTTGGCTTCCCAAAGTGCTGGGATTATAGGCATGAGCCACCATGCCTGGCCCATATCACTATTTTCTATACTTTTGATGTTATTTATGTCCGCTATGTCTGTATGGAGGGAGACCACCATGTGACGGTTTGCTCATGCGTGTCTCTTACTCTGAGCTCGACATCGTCAGATTGGTAGCTGGAAATGGGCCATGGTGGGAATATTTGCACCATTGCAATTGGCAAATGCTATAAATCAAGGTTGATTTATGGTTCTGTTGATTATTCTTTGCAGTGATGTTAGTAATACAGATTAAACTTAACAGTGCATTGTACCTGTAACCATTCCATTGTGAATAACACAAAAAGTAGAGGAAATATTTTTCTCACATTTGGAAATTATTCTGTGATTCAGCAAAGAAGCTGCTCGTGTCATTGACAAGTTCAGAAATACGTGCTGCCAAAGCCAAAAAGAGGCTTCGGTTTAATACAAATAATTAACACGAAGGGGAGAAATGGTTTACCACCTGTTCACTTACTGGATTTAAGGACACTTGTTGAGGAAAGAGCAGAGTAAGATGCAACTCTGTCAAATCATGGCTGAATATGTTTGGCAAAAAATCAATAAAAACTGAGCATCAGTCTGTTATGTGAAATGGAATATTTTAACATTATTTGTAAGTTGTGTGCTCTGTGTCCTTTGTATCATTAGAATTTATAAAATTATAAGTAAACATGCACACATACATGTTTCTTCAGAGAGCCAGTTGCTGAACAGTTACCAGCACACCGCTGCCCACCTCCTTTGCCTGGACTGGGTCGGTGCCTCTCTGCTGCTCCCACAGAAACCTGTCCAGAACTCTAATGCGGCACCTCTTCGTGTGTCTCATTGAACTTCTTGAGGACAGAGTGATCTTTGTGGCTCCAGCACTTAACGTGATGCCTGGCACATGCTAGGTGCCTTCCCCAAACTGAATGAATAAAGGGGTTGAACAGTTGAGTGGGCGAGGACTGGATCATGCTCTCCCCATGGCATTGCTGCTTCCTGGAGAGGTGGCTGCATTTCCTGGTCCCTCTGCAGTGGGTGTGGCCATGTGGTGAGTGATACGTGGAAGGAGGATGCCAGTCAGCCTCAGGCCTGCCCTCCAGTGAATCCATGAGACCCTCCAGATCGCTCTCCTTCCCTGCAGCCTCTGGGAGCGTCAGAGGCCACATGTTCCTACTAGTGTAGCTACAGGGTAGAAAAGGGATGCCTGGCCCACAAAGTATGAGTAAAATAAGCTTATTTTGTTAAGCCACTGCATAGCCTCACGCATCCTGACTAATCTGATGAGAATGCTGAAGCCCAGCCATAGAGGTGACTTGGGCCAGGCTGTGCCTTCTGTGAAGTGGCAGGCCCAGCCCAGAGCCCATCTTCATTGTCACTCTACCTCCTACCTCTGCCCATTTCTTCCCTCCTGAACACTTTTTTGGAAATACAGAATAAAGTGTGAATCTGAGGTGAGTTTTGTTCTAAGCCCTGTTTGAGACAATACCTGGTTAGGACCCACGCATGGTGACGCCTCCAATGGCAGCCAACCCAGGAGGCACACTCATGACGCAGCCTGTCATTAGAGGATCAGCCGGGGCGGCTGATGTCTGGGATTCAGGCTCCCATTAAGTGTTATTAGCCTTAGCCTCAGTGAGGTTTCACCCACAAGCAACCTCCCTGGCCTTGTCATTTACCACTTCCTTTGGCTTATCTAGACCAGATCTGGTAATTGGGCAGATGGAAACCCAGCTTTGGAAGTGACACACTCGGGCCGCAAATGCCAAGCAGGACAAACAGCTCCTTATTCTCAGCTGAAAAAAAACCTCAGCGTAGTTGCACGAACATTTAAATGTGGATTACGAGTCGGGCATTAGGCTGTTTACTGTAGTACAGTACATATAGTGTAGCCTAGTATAGGGCAATGTGTGTAGCATAATTACAAGTCTAATACATGTCCAGTATAATGTCGTGGATCAGTACAATATGCATAATATTCGTGGTACGGTATGATGGTACAGTACAATAAGCATAATATCACATAGTCTCTGCCTTGTTCCTTCCTCTCCTGAAAGCCTGGCTACCTTCCCATTGATTGCAAACGGGGAGGCTGAAACCATCAGGTTGAAGTCACAGAGGCCAGATCAGCACCGTGACTTGGGTGAGCTGGCACATTCCTAACTCCTGATTACCTGGTGATGACACTGGCCTTCAACTTCCTTGGCCCCACCCAGTCTCTCCAGGGCAGGGATTCCATCCATGACTTCTGCTTGACCCTGAAACACCATTCTTGGCTTGGCTTTCTGTCTTTACCACGAGAGTTTGCAAGCTCCAGAGGAGAAGAGTCTCGCTTCGTGTTTTGCTTTTGTTATACTGTATCCCTAGCGTCTAGGATGGTGCCCCAGTGTTTGTTGAATGACTGCTAGAATGCAAGGCCTGTGTGGGCAGGGTGCCCCCGCTCATGGCACAGTGCTCTATCCAGGGACTGTGGAGACTGACAGCGCCACATGGAAGCCCCCCACTGCCTTCCTCACACCTCTGACTCCTGACTGGCGCTAGGTCTCTGCACAGGCTGTGCCCTCTGCCTAGAATATTCCCCTTGGCGTCCTTCCAGCCTTCCCTGACTACTGCCCCTTACTCAGTCTCCCAGCCCCATGTCTCCCTTGTCACAGTGCTGCCACACCTTCTTGCAAGTAGCTTGATTGCTTGTCTGTCCTCTGCCCTCCCCTGGACTGCGAGCCTGGGGAGTGTGGGGCTGTGTCTGTCCTGCTCCCCACCGTATCCTCAGGATGGCCACAGACACGCATACGCATAACAGGTGCCACATGCTAGAAGGACGAATGGAGGAATAGCTGGCCACAGCCAGGTGTGGCCTTGTGAGCTACTCGAGGGATACCTGGAGGTCATGTATGGGGGTGCAGGAGGTGTGGCCTGGCTCTGTGTCAGGTTGAAGCTGCCCCGGTCATTGGCGGTCATGCTCGGGACCAAGAAAGTGGCCTGGGTCTATTCTCTTATCCGAGCTGGACTGTCTGCTTCCTAAATTGTGACATAGGCTCACGGTGATGCTTCTGAGCCACTCCTGTTTATCAGTGTTCACACAGTGATTCACTTTAAAAGCTACTTATTAAACACCTACTGTGTGCCAGATGCCCTGCTAGGTTCTGGGGGTGCAGAGATCAGCACAGTGGGGCCCCACCTCCAGGAGGTCACAGTCCCGGGCCCGAGCTGCGCCTGAGCGTGCATCTCCTACTGTGCTCCTCGGGCAGCGTGCCAGGTTCTGTTTGCCAGCCCAGTACGCTGAGATCCCACCTCCCTGGGGCCCATCCCAGAGTTTCTGATCCATCAGGCGTGAGGCAAGTGTGATCATGTGTGTGTCTCACAGATTCCCCGGTGCGTGCTCTGTGGTCGGGGGCCTGCACTCAGAAACCCTGCCCTAGATTGTCCTAGGCTGGCAGTTTTCACGAGTCCTGCACATCCATGACCTCATCGTTTAGACTTTCAGCCTCCCTCTCCTGCGTAACTTCAGTGCACACAGCAGGGGAGAGTCGGTGTTGTGTCTCGGGCCCAGGTCTTCCTGTTGGACGCTGCCCTCTCCTAGTGGCACCGGCTGGTACAGGAACAGTTGCCGGTGCCGTCGGAGTTGTAGGAGAGCTGCGGGGCCCGGCCAGGGGAAGCTGTGGGGAATTGGCGGAGACTTTCCGGAGAAAGGCCAGAGGACGCCATGTCTGGGAGGCAGGGTGGCGGGTCGCCTTTCCGTTCTGCAAGGAGCACGGGCTTGGCAGGATGGGCGGAGGCAGAGCAGCTCGTGGGCAGGGCCCCAGGCCCCTACCTAGAAGGCAGAGGAGGGGCAGGTGGCGTTCCTTCCTGGGCGGGCCTCCTCTCCTCAGCAGTTGGGACTTGGGCCTCGGTCATCCCACCTCCGTACAGGCCCCAGCGGGAGGTCGGGGCAGCCTTGGCCTGAGAGTGCTGTGCGTGATGGCCAGACTGGGGCCTGTGGCCCTGCAGTTCACACAATCACCCCCTCTGTGTCAGCCCAGGTGGCCGTGGGACTCTGGGCCTCATAGTTTCCAGCGTCCCTGGACTGGGCCAGGCTAGTCCGGGTTCAGTGCTGTCTCATCGGAAGGAGGCTGGGAGGGAGAGCAGGGAGGGGCCGGCTCCAAGAAGAGCTCCATATTTCCACGGGCAAGGAAGGGAAGGTGGAAAACCCTGCGCTGGGGCGAGCAGCTTCCTCCCGTGTTGTCTCTGAGCAGGAAGCCAGGCCTGCCCAGCCCCGGGGAAGGAAAATAACTCTGGACACGTATTTGTAGAAAGTGGGAAAGCCCTGTTTCTCAAGGGTGGTGAACATTTAAATGTAAAACTGGCTACTCCGCTGAAGTCCCCACTGACTATCCGGGAGGGGCCCAGGATGCAGAGTGGCCGGGGCTGCTGGTGCCTGGTAGGGGCTGGTTGTCCCTGATAGGGGCTGCCTGTCCCTGGTAGGGGCTGGTTGTCCCTGATAGGAGCTGGGTGGTTGTCTCTCGTTGGAGCTGGTGGGTTCTCCCTGGTCGGGGCTGGTTGGTTGTACCCAGTCAGGGCTGGTTGTTTTGTCCCTGGCTGGGGCTGGTGGGTTGTCCCTGGCTGGGGCTGGTGGGTTGTCCCTGGCTGGGGCTGGTGGGTTGTCCCTGGCTGGGGCTGGTGGGTTGTGCCTGGCTGGGGCTGGTGGGTTGTGCCTGGCTGGGGCTGGTTTTGTCCCTGGTCGGGACTGGTTAGTTGTGCCTGGCTGGGGCTGGTGGGTTGTCCCTGGCTGGGGCTGGTGGGTTGT